AATAATTTCCTAAAAAAAATCCACACCATGGTTGATCCTTAAACCATTTTCTAAAAAAACCACGCCTTTGTTGTCCTTAAAAGTATTTCCTAAAAAATCCAAACTTAGTTCTTTTTAAATTATTAAAATTTAATTTTTAATACATCAAACATTATCCATCGAAAACAATGTCCCTTGACAAATGTATGGTACAATTTCACGCGAAAGGCTTGATATTATTTCATTGTAACTAATTCAAAATGAAAATGTAAAATATTTCAAAACAATCAATAAATAAATATATTTCAGGATTTTGTTACACATATTAATTACACTTTAATGCCATTTATTACCGCGAAATGTTTGTTTGTGTCTCATCTGAACATAATTGCATGTTTGCCAAAGCAGTTAAACGATTGCACACAAATTTACACCAATGATGGTTGGTCTGTATTGTCGTTGTTGCTAATACTGCTGCTGACGATGATGCTGATGATGGCCAATAATGTCATTTATTGTCTAGCAGCAGTGGTCATAATGCAAACATCGATGCCATTAACAACATGGCACATTACATTAAAAGTGTGTGAAAGTTTGATATATGTATGTATGGGTGGATATGAATGTATGTACGTGTGTGTCTGTGCCATAGGTATGCATCCATGAATTCATGAGTGTACGTAATTCAAAATGCATATATTCCACGGAATTCCATGCATACAGATACCGCTGCCGTTTTTCATAGATATGGACTTTCATTGTTCTCACACATGGTTGGTTGGCTGACTGTTGGCTAAAGTATGAGGCCATTACAATTTTATTTATGGACGATGTGTGCCACATAGTTGGTAATAAATGATTACACTTTCATTTTCAGGATTCATTCGGTGTGTGTGGTGAATGAATTCTTTCATGTGTATAAAGGAAAGTTGTCCAGTGTACGTCGGAATGAATAAAATGTGGGAGATTATTGTTTGAGTCTTAAATGAAATTTTGAATGTTTAGAGCCTATTTTAATTGGAAGACGAGAAAATTGACGAAATCTTATCGACATATAAAGCGATGGATGTAAATTTGTACCGATTTGAAGCATACTTTATTCTCGACAATTTAGTTTGGAGTCGGCGGCCCATTTAAATAGAAAATCGTAGGATGTTTCGTACATTACATACATGAAAAAGACAAAATTAAAATCAAATAGATTTTTTATACAATTTATAATTTATTAAAAATTGTGACAGTATTAGTATAAGTTTATACCACACATGATTTACCATTCGCTTTACTTTATGTCACTGTTAGGAGGAACCGAAAGGTGGTGCCCTGTAAATTTTCCGCATTTAATGGATGTAAGTCATATGAAAATTTTTAAAAATGTTTAACATTTGTGGGGGAATACCACAAGGAGTGGACAAATGGGTAAAATCTTCGGAATGTATCTAAGATTAATAACAATAATACGATATGTGCAGTTTGTATTACATCATCAGCAGTTTGTATTAAATTTTTATCAAATAGTTTAACGTCTAAATATTTGGAGAGGTAACAGAAGACTTTGCTCTATAGAAATGTACGCTCGGTATTGAAGTAACAAATTTTAAATATTTTGACACATTTTGAGGCATGTGCCACAAGGACTGGAAAGACGTATCCCATCTTCATACTTGATCTAGCCAAGATAAAAATATTATGATGTACAAAGTTTGGATCAAATAACAATGTATTATGATTTTGAATGGACCGGTGGTTGCCATCTTCGGACATGATCTAGGCTTGGTAGTAGTATTATGATTTAAAATTTTGGATAAATTCGGACATTCCATTCATTTGATAATGAATGTCCGACATTTTCCAAATGTTCACACTTTTTGGGGGGACTACTAAAAGGAGTGGATTTTAAACCGATAAGTCCCATTTTTAACATTATGCAAAATATTAGGTTGTGCGAAGTTTAATTGAAATCGTTCGCATGATGTTACAAAATAAATGTTCAGTAACATTTTGACCATTTTGTGGGGGAGATAACAGAAGGAGTTGACCGTTATTTCCTATCTTCGAACTTGATTTAAGTTTGGAAGAAATATTACAATGTGCAAAGTTTGGATGAAACCGGTTATTCCCGTCGATAGTTGTCGTGCGCATTCGCCAGACTGACGAGCGGACATTTGTAAATCGACCCCAAATTGTCTGCGACGTATTTAGTGTAAAGAAACATAGAGTCCAAAACCATAATTTGATGAGGCACACTTTTGCCGTATCAAAGGGTATATAACCTCATTAGGCATACGGTGAGGGCATAAAAAATCTGCAAATCGCCGATCCTACAAAAGCTTATATTTCAAAAAAAAAAAGGTTGAACTGTTTATTTTTCAAAAAATCTAAAACATCATCAATATTGAAATTTATTACAAAATCTTAACCATCATCATTATTACTAACCAGAAAGGAAAGTTCACAAGTCCGACTAATTTCGTGCAAATCGAAATATATATATATATAGGGACTTTGGTGCATCATTTACATTAATTGGACGAAAAAATATATAAGAGCTATATCTAAATCTGAACAGATTTCAATAAAACTTCACATACATCAATCGGGACCTAATCCAGTACGTTGCGCAAAATGTTGTGCCAATCGGCCTAAAATTGACTCTTTGCTCCACCATTAAAAAAAAACGGACGAAACTATATATGGGAAATCTGAACCTATTTCAACAAAACCTCACACTCATCAATCAGGACCTAACTCAGTACTCTGTGCAAAATTTTGTCTCAATCAGACCAATATTGGGAGCTGGGTGCAACATTTACATAAAATCGGACGAACCTATATGTGGGAGATATATCTAAATCTGAACCGATTTTAACTAAACTTCACATACATCAATCTGGACCCAATTCAGTACTCTGTGCAAAATTTTGTCTCAATCGCACCAATATTGACAGTATGATGCTCCTTTACATTAAATCAGACGAAACTATATATGGGATCTATATCTAAATCTTAACCGATTTTTTCCAATTTCAATATGGTTCGTCCTTGGGCCGAATAAGTGACATGTGCTAAATTTCATCCAAATCGGAGCATAAATCCAACCTGTACTCCCAAGTCAATCATTACGATTGGTTAAATGAAAATGCTCCCGAAATTATGGGTGAGTATGCAAGAATTATCGCATCTGAGCCTTCGTAAACCCAAAAGTTATTGTTTGGATTATTGGATCTTTTCCTTCTTATGTGTCATGTGTTAATTTCGATAGTCATTGTTTTTTTTATAACAGCTAAGTTAATGAGTTGTCAGCAACAACTTTGAAATAATTTTTCTTTCTTCTTTGGGATTAGAACCCGCGCAAAATACTAAAAGAGCAAAAATTTGATATAAAGAGAATTGTTCTTGTGTTTTACTTAAAGTTAATGATAAGATGTATATTTTTTAAAAAAGTAATTTATATACTTAAAAAAGGAGAAGTTGCAAATAAGTTTTATTTTAAAAATATTTTTATATAATAAATCCAAAGTCAATTTTTAAACAACAATTATGACCCGAACATCGCGAAATCTGGAAGGGGACTTTGTCAAGGAATAAGCATGCCTGTTTTGATGAAGATTGATCAATATTTAAAATAGACAATGATTTTTATTTGTAATGTTTCATGCAAGTTTGTGTTGATAAATTGCAACACTGTCCTGGGCATATCGGTTTGAAGTCTAGCAATTTACTATACTATGCCGCTGTTACTTTGGGCTATATGAAAATTATGTTGGATTAACAGTTACCTCAAAAATAATCTCTCTATTTAGATACCAAAATAAAATCTCTTATTTAAAACTCTACACAATTTTGTTCATAAAATATAAAACTGACATATAATTACCCATTATCCACCATATAAGTAAAATGTAGTTTAAATAACGTACATATCTAAAATTTCCTGGAACACAATTATTTTAGTTTTTCACCAAAAATCTACCAATATGCATGACCACTCCCGAACAAAAGTTTCCCTTTTATCGCCACAATCAAGATCATTATAGTCAACCATTATTACGGTTGGTGTACCCGAAAAACAAAAAACGGAAGTTTCATTTACAGACTCTATTTAAGCATAACAACATTTTTGACTTTTTCATGGTAGCATATTTTATATCCGTTTTTAGTTTTGTGAATTCACAAAAAAATAAAAGCTAAGAGTAAAAACGGAATAACTTTTTCTGGGGGGAGCTTCAACATTTCTGATACGTAATGTATGTGGGTCTGGTTTAAAGTCCTGATGTTGTGCATGCATTGCAAATTTGTGGGGGAAACAAGTTGCAAATATTTGTTTTTTGTTGTTCTTCTCCCTGCTCAATAATCAAATATAGTTTCCTGTTGTCATGTGCTTCAGTTGTTTACACAAATTACTTGGTTTGATTTAACAATTTGTCGTTTTTTGGGTAAATGTGTTTTTTTGCTCTTTTTCTTGGAAAGACTAACCAAATCTTCAAAGAATATCCTTTTAAACACAAGACTGAAAATTGCAACGGTATTATAGGGACTAATGTTTGATATTTAGTCTCGTGTATTACTAAATTCTTTAATGAATATCTATGACGAAAAATAGTCTGAATTTTAAAACGAATTTTCCAAACAATTTGCAATATGACTTAGGCTAAATATGATATATAATGAACCAATTACCTAATCCCGCATAAAAAAGTTTACAACAGAATTTGTAGTTCATTCATTATTTACAATTTTGTGAGAGCCCACACACAAGAAAACAATTTACCCAAAACAATAATGTAAAATAAAAAAAGGAAATTACATTATTCGATGGTACATCGTAACGTATGAGTTATGATGCCCACAGATATTAACATTTCCATACGCGTGGATGTACACAAACAAAACAAATTTTGAAACTTTTTTGTGTTGCTGTTTATTTTTGATGTTCTGTTCAAATTTACTCCCGGATAACAATGAAAACAAAAATACAAGTTTTTTCTCATAATAATCTCTTCTATTTATTTTTTAATTTCAGTTCATCCGCCACGGAATTGATATCCCGACGTGGAGTATTTTCACGACATCATTATGGTTCAGTTGATCAGGTAAGCCAGAACCCCAGTTATGACAATAAATAAAAAACCACCATAATATGGAATTTATTTTCTTTGTTAACAGAGGAATTAAATTGTTATAAAAACAAGCAATGGCTTAATTTCAATAGCGGTTAAAGCAGAAAATTATTATTTTTTTTCTGAGAGAGAGTACAACATATTTTAATTAAAAGCGGAAATTAATTTTTAATCTGTGAAAGCTTCCAAACATACAATGTACGTATGTGGGAAATGTAAAGTGATGTATTTGATATGTCAAAGGGAAATTTTAATTTCTTAAGCCCAAAATCAAAGAAAACAAAATTGTTTTTGGTGGCAGCACTGATAACGAATAATAATCCCGGAATAAAAATAAAATTGGTGGTAATATTTGATTTAACTTCTCGGAAAATTTTTAACTTGAATACTGATATTAAAATAATGAGTTGCTTTAAGGGGCTTTTCTACTAAGAAGATTTGATCTATACAAACAGTTATTATTTGCATATTGTTTTATTGGACACAAAAAGGGAGTCTTCATTTATAATTTTATGGACTGTGAATAGGAAAATCAAAACTGTGGCTAACAGAGGCTGTTTAGGTTCGATGCATTGTAGCATACCAATTATTATTCACATTAATTGGCCACTCATTTGAGTCAATGAGTCACATTCGCTTGGTTCGGATTGTAGGAAAGAGTATCCGCTCATTCACACTCTCTTTCCTAGAAGTCACATTCGCTCAGTTCGGATGCAGACATGACTTTCCATTACTACGATGTCGATGTGATCTCGACCTTGTTTACGCTACATTTTCTCACGGCGACTCACTGGCTTCCCCGCTTTGGTTAAATAAACGTCTCTCGCTATCGTAGTTAACGCCGAAGGTCATGCATGTGCTTCTACATAAAGAGCTTCTACATTGACCTACATCGAAAACTTTTGTCATTCTATGTCAAAATAGAGATCAAAATATAGACCTACATCGAAAAACCCTTGAAAACCCGAAATATGGCCATTTAGTAGAAAAATGCAGCTAAATCATTTAAAATACCGAAAATGGGCAAATACAATTATATGAGAGATAAGTTGAATACTTTTTAGAATAGATGTTTGTCAGCCACCAAAAACCTAAAATACCAATTTGCATCTACTTGCAGGAAGAATAAGGAAAACGCGTTTTGGCGTGATCTTCGATTTTTTTACTATTGGAAAGAACGCAGGTGGCAGGTTTTTGAGGGACCTAATCATTGTGAGCAACTTGACCTTTGAAATTTCGTTCGGATATTTTTAATGCGCACAAAAGTACATCTGCAAAATGTAAGGAGGAATCGATTCAAATATAGATATAGCTTTCGTATATATATTTTATCCGACATTATTCGGCTGCCACACAAAGGACACTTTGTATCCGATCGATTTAAATGTTGATATGGTGGGCACATGAATCATGTGCTCTGATCGGATCATATATAAATATACTTATATACAACAGTGAAAAAAAAATATAAATAAGCTTAACCGAGCATTTAATCTTTTTTATAAATAGCTCAACAATTTGAAGATGTATTTAGGTATATCTTAAGCATGTTTTCATTTCCTGTTTTTCTATTTTAAAGTTATGCCCCACATGCGCGAATATATTTAACAGAAACGACATAAAACCGCACAAAACTCGAACCAGGAGCTGTTGGCTATATCAAAAAGAGCGTTTAAGAAGTTGTTTCTAGAATTGGAAAAACACTGGCATACGTGTATTATATCTGAGTGCGACAAAGGGACACGTTTATGGTAAATAAGTAAACGGTCCAGGTTTTGATCAGACCTTAACTACCCTTTTTTCATCAGTCCTCGTTTTTCTGTCGACGACACCGATGGACAGTTTTTAATTAGTTTACATGTCCTAGCTTCATCCTTCCATGGATATATTTCGATATTGGTGCTAATTTTGACATAAACCCATATAAAGGTCCCGTAAATTTGGGGTATAGGTGCTTATTTTCCATAGTCCCTCATATAAAGTTTCCGACCGCTTTCATTATTTTGAAGGTGTTACTTGTAGGGGACACCCACTAGCAAATACTTTTCAGTGACATAGTCCCCATATAAAGAACTCGGCCGATTTAAGAATTTTTGAATGCATATCGCGTATTTAAATTAATTTCGCATATTTACTGATATATAAGAATGATAATCGTTCTCGATCCATTAAAAGTATTATATGGTGTATGATATGTATTATATGAGTTTGTTACCCCACGAAATGTTGACCCAGACACACCAAGATACCGATTTCATTACTAGATGAATCGTTCCACGTGAGTCCGTACACCCGTCGGTTCATGGCGCGTTCGAACTGGCCAAAATCGACACATAGAGTTTTAGATAATGATTGGTCTAAAAATAATTTTTAGTCTGATTTTCCGGTTGCTCTGGGGACCGCAATTATAACGCGAGCATCATAAAATAATGGACCATCATTTAGACGAAATGAGCTAGACTTTTGTTTGAATAAAAATTTGTGAAATGTTGTTCTGAAACGCACGGCGTGTTTTTTACACTTGCCCTCAGAAGTTATCTCCTGTTCTGCTTCTCACGTGAATTTAAATTCTCGACTTCTGCACAACAAAAACAAACAATCTATTTGTGATTTTAAACAAGTTATAAGCAATAATAACATATTAATTACATTTTTTTATAAATAATATTTTTTATATAGAAAAAACATGAATGCACTGACTATCACCTTCAAAATATAAGTTTAAAGAATTCACTTCAAAAAGGCGTAAATGCGTCTTACAGAAACGCTCGACGTACGTTTGATACACTTCTACCTTTGAGGTGATTGCCAAACATGCCGTACACATTCAAATTATTTTGACCATTACCGCAATGTAAATATCGTCAAATAATTTCCAGTATAGAGATTTATCCCCACAGTTACTTAAATTTTCGAGGTAGTTGTATACCTTGTCCGACCACCCTGCTCCGCTTACTGATTTTCATATTACACACAAAAGCACACACATAAAAATTAATTTGTACCACAGTAAGGTATAAATTTTTCATAGTCGCTAATATCTCGAGTAATATGCAATATGTGTGAGACAAATCAGCATATATTTTTGTCCGAATTATATCCAAGAATATATCAAAATCATAAAAAAATAATTATTACCCTGAACCTAAGGCACTTTTGCCCAATGAAAATTGATTTTTCTATTTTAGAAAAAAATATATATATCCACATTTAACTGATGACCTCTGACTGAGTTTTTATGAAGAGATAGAGAATATTTCCCTGCCGCATTTCAAACTCCACCTTAGCACATAAATATTTCCTTTTTTAATTTATGTATTCGTTTTTCCTTTTTATTATGAATTATAATCGACACACAACGAATAATCCCATCGATTTCTAAACAAGTTCATGTGTGTACGACAGGTACATGTACATACATGTCGGTATGAATGTCTACATTCTTTCAACAATATCAAGAATACACTCTTCAAATCATGTTGATACATGAAGTTTATACTCAACAGGAAACACATGCTCTGCGGTAAAGAACCCAAAACAGTTTCCTATATCGTTTCTTTTCCGATTCTGTTTATTTGCTTTTATTCCACGAACAAACATACTAACCGCTTAAAACTGGCAAATATTCAACATTTCAGTTTCTTTGGAATTTATGAATAACAACGAATATAAAAATACGTTGAAGGAAGGGGAAAATAAACCATTCTAGGAAGTAGTTTTTGTTGTGTAGCTGAGCACAAAATATGAAATACACGAAACTTTAAAACTAAATTTCAAAGGTTTTATGAATTTTGGTCAAACTTTTCGTTTCGTCTATACATGCGGAAAAGTAAACTTCAAGTTGAAGAACCCAAGAAATATAAACTGGAATTAACAAACGAAAGTTTTTTTTCGAAAACGATATGTCCGTAAATCCAGTTTTCGATTGCCAATGAGAGAAATAATTTAAAAACTTATAAGGGATTATCTGAATAATTCTTTTAATTGGGTTATTAGTACAAAAGTGATTGAAATTAGGTATATTCAAATATTAAATAACTAATTAAAATTAAATCCTCTTGAATAATATATAGAGCTAAAAATGAATTTATTAAAGATTGTTTTTCGAATCAATTCTGGATCATTCAGATTTAATTTAAGGATCTAATAAACTAAGATCGATAGGCTTGTGTTCCCTAAATAAATTTCTAAATGGCTAGTTGTCTGGAATCGACTTGGAAGGTAAATGTGCTGTAAAATACAATACCGATGTGAAAATGGTCTTTATCGATTAATATGATTTTTCAAAGCAATTTTGGATCACTTAGATACATTTAAAAACCCAATCAGCTAAGACGCTGCGTTCTTAATAATCGCCCGGCTTGAGTTCTTGTGCATGGGCTTTATGAGCCTTGGGAATTATGTCCTTATGCAATTTATGTACAAACCTGGATATTTTAAAAACTTTGGGCAAAGCAGCAAATGTTTGTGAGCGACAGTCTCTGTACTGCCGTCCGGTACGGAATTCAAAGAACCCTGTTTGTTGGAAACTACGGTATTAATTCCTAATGTGCGATGATGGGATTAATCGATTCGCTTCCTTTATAAATGACACAGTACATTTCGTAATATTTTAAACAAAATCTAGGTTAAATCCGAAAAAGAGCCTCCAAAAGTCCAAATTTTTTAAACTTGTGATGTTCGTATAAAGCGAAAGGTGTACTTGAACCATCTATTACACATCGTAATATGTTTGCAAAATTTACATTAAATCTCAAGATGGGTCCAATGGGACCTTTTCTTGTCACAATTTTAAAAAATTTGTAAATCTCTCAAATTATTTGTTTGTTGTTTTATATTTGATTCGAACCTACAATAATTCAAGAATGAAATTTCAAGAGAAAATCTGAACAACTCTTGAAGATATAGCCGATTTATTGAGTCAGCATGAAGCAGCGACTGAGTTGATTCTCAAACTTTAAACGCGTTTTCCC